AGGTTGCAAGATTCTCCAGCACCCGTATGTGGGGTATAAGAAAACCCAGGGAACTCATTGTTTGTTGCATTCTGGAATCCCCAGCTTGTGTGCCTTCTTCTCTGTATCATTCACAGCCTTTATACTTTTGTTTTATATATAACTCTCAAGTTTGTAGCTACACTTAGTAGGAGAGAGGGAGGGAGAAAAGGGAGTGGTGTGTCAGTGCCCTCTTGGCCAGAACTGTTGTTTATTTTTTCATAGCATCATTTCTTGTGTCATGGTTAGTGTCTTCCTCTTTATTTTTGAAGTTACCAATTTTAGCTTTTTTGAAGTCTTCTCTTCCCCACATTTTCTATTTGATGTTTTTTTTTCTTTTCCTATTTTTTTGTTTTGGTCTTTTTAGTGTATTGGAGTTTTTCCCTAAATGTGTGGCAGTCTTTGGCTGCATTTCATATTTATTAAGGGTAAAACACCAAACATCTGTTTGGTCTTATGGTCATGTTGGGAGTTAATCAACTACTGGGCTTCACTATAGGACAATTGAGTGAGAAGTTGCTCATTTTACAAATCAGTATTTAGAGGTCTTTTCTCTGGGGTGGGTAAATTTTACCAGAGAAGTATTTTCCCACCTCCTACCCAGGGACTGTAGCCTCATTTTGGGAATGCAGCAGGGAGCTGAGTGACCAACATACAGTTCATTATGCAGAATTTTTTTTTTCTATCCGTTCTCATCCCAGATCTCTCCACTGCTTTCACCGATCAGTGTGCTATCCCAGAATCTGAGTCCTCTGTACAAATATTCAATGCCATAAGTTTCTGTGTTTTAATTTGGCTGACAGATGGTGTAGGAGAATGGAGACATGGAGAGGGAAGTGTGCATAGTCCCCAGACTGACTGAGCTAGAGGAGGTTACTGGGGGGGGCACACTTTCATACACGGACTTTAACCCAAAGCCTCTGATGTTTCCCTAGGACTTGTGTCTGTCCTGCACAGTCCCTGATAACTTCTTTCCTTTAGTCAGCTTCCTGTGCTCAGCTATGTCATTTACCTTTCCTGTATCCACTTACCCTTTTTCAGATTTTATTGAAATTCTTCACCTGCCATTGTCTCATCTTTTCTTAATTTTTCTCTTTTGGGGTTATAGAGGTGGACAGTGGGTACTTAACAAATGATAGCTCCTTCAATGTTTAGCTGCCTTATCCATAAAGCTGCTCTAGTGTTTAAATTAGCAGTTAAGAACAGAGGAGCTGTTGTTGTTTTAGTACCTACTATCTGCCATATACTTTTAATCTATATATAGAAGTTCATGCATTTATATGTCCCTATCATCCACTATATTTTGAGTTCCTGAAAAGCTGGGACTGTTTTGTCCATTTTTGTGTTCCCATTGCGTAAGAAACTCCATGGCAACAAACTTTGTTCTTTCCCTGCAGAATCTCTAGCATCTGCAGTGCTGTCTGTCACATACTATGTGCTCAAGAAAGCCTTGTGGAATGACTTCAGAAAGTGGTCTATCTACAGGAATATTCCTTTATTCTATAAAGTTCTAGTTTCACAAGATAGTGTACCTATGTCTTACACTATGTAGTAGTGGCTTTTGATATGCCTTGCTGTGCTGGCTGATAAAATGTCTAATATTAAACAGACAGACATTAGAACAGCATCTTCTTAATTTGTGGTAACAAGGTTACTTTACAAGGATGCAAACTGGATAAACTAAATCTGTACTGCCCAATACTATAAGGAGAGTTATAGATTTGTACTAGAAATTTACCCAAAGAAAGCCTTGAAGACACTCCAAAATAGAAATGAAAAATTGGAGAATGAGTTTAATGCTAAGTAGCATTTTTTCAGTGAAGTGCTGAGGTGGGACCTGAAAGCAAATCATTCCAGAAAGATAGGACTCTACTACTACCACAGCCATCTCAGCTGTCTCTTCCTATTAATAAACCACAATATTGGTTTGCCGTATATTGATGTAATATATATGTGACAAGCATTATGCTAAGTGCTGCATGTTCACTATCTCATTTCATTCATATAACATTTTTGAGAGGAATTAGTATTCCCATTTTACAGATGAACAAATAGAGAAGAAGTTAAGGTAAGTTGCCCAGAGTTATACTGCTGCTAAGAGCCACAGCCAGGATTCAGCCTCAGTTTATCTAACCCCACAGTCTGCTCCCTGACCCTCCACCCTAGGACGCACACAAGGAACACCAGAACAGCCTGATCTGCCTTGCCTCTCTCTTATTTGCCTGTCTGTATAGTATAGTGATTCTCAAACTAGCCTTGCAACATAATCCCTAGAAGGTATTATAAACAGATTGCTGGCCCCACCCCCAGAATTTCTAATTCAGAAAGTCTTGATGAGGATTGAAAATCTGGGAACAGGATTGAACCTGTTCCCAAGGGTACTGGTTATCCATTACTGCATAATTGGCCTGACTTAGCTGGGTGACTTTGGCTCAGGATCTCTCATAAGGCTGTAGTCAACATGTTGGCAGTGGTGGCACTCATCTCAAGGCTGGACTGCAGGATGTCTTGCTTCCACACTTGCCCTGTGACAGGTCACAGATCCTGCTGGCTATTGGCTGGAGACATCGGTTCCCTGTCACACGAATCACTCCACAGCACTACTCACAGTATGTCATCTGGCTTCCTGCAGGGCAAGGGATCCATGAGAGTCCCCCCAAAATGGAATCCACAGCCTTTCTTTTTTAAATTTTTTTTGACATTTATTCATTTTTTGAAAGAGAGAGAGAGAGAGAAAGAGAGAGGGAGAGAGAGAACATGCGCACAAGTTGGGGAGGAGCAGAGGGAGAGGGAGACCTGGTATCTGAAGCAGGCTCCAGGCTCTGAGCTGTCAGCACAGAGCCCAGCACAGGGCTGGAACCCATGAACCGTGAGATCTTGACCTGAGCTAAAGTCAGACACTTAACCAACTGAGCCACCCAAGCACCCCGGAAGCCACAGCCTTTCTATAACCTAATCTCAGAAGTGGCATCCCATCCCTTCTGCTGTACTCTGTTCATTGGAAGCAAGTCACTAAGTCCAGCCCACTCTCAAGAAGAGAGGCTCAGACAAGGGCCTACACCAATGAGGTGAGGTCTTTGGAGATCATCTTAGAGGGTGCTCATCATACTGGGTGCTGCTGGTCTGGGGCCATACTTTGCAAATTACAGCTATAATTAATGGCCTCAGAACAAAGACCTTTTTTCCTGAGAGCAAAGCTCTTTGTTAAGTAAATGGATATATGACCCTAGCCACCTCTCAAGGTAGGAAAAGGGGCAAGGGAGGAGTTAACTCTTTTCCATTGAGCATACAGAAAAAAAAAATGAAGGTAAAGTTTTGCACTTAGGACACTTAGTCTCCAGCCAGCATTCTCTATAATGGCCCATAACCAAGCTGTGAAAGTAATAACATTCTAAAGTTATGATAAAACAGAAGTTGTAGATAAAACCGTCACTGATGGCATGAAGAAGCCCCAGCCAACAACTCAGGTTCAGGCTGGTAGGTTACAGAGTGGTGTGATGGAAAAGTCCGAGTTGCCTTCTAAGTTGAAAATAAGTGAGCTCATCTCTAATGGCAGTGAGTTACATTCTTGTGGAAGTGCCAGTACCAGGGAGCTTGCCTTCCTTCCAGAAGGCTTATGTCACTTGCCTAATGGCCCTAGAAGGACCCAGCTTCTTTATCTAGTGTACATAAAGTGCGTAACAGGGAGTCTTGCATAAAGATGTGCTCAATTAACATCCATTCCTTTTTGGGGGACTTTGAGAGTTATCAGAGTCTGAGGTGTTGTGCTTGCTTACTATGGAATCATTCTATCTGCCTATGAAACAGTAATTTGTACAATGTTGTGAATGGACATGGAGTGTAGAGTCACAGTAGGATGACATACAGAGCCATGTGAACTCAGACAATCACTTAAGCTTTCTGAGACTCTATCTGTAGAATATGGATAATATACCAGCTGTTTCTAGCCCTCAGTAGAGTTGGGGAAAGAAAACTAAATGAAAGCACTTTTTAAACTTAGAGCAATATTTGGGAGCTAAAAAAATGAAACAAAACGAAACAGTGATTCTCAGCCTTGGGTGCATATTAGAATCACCGGGAGAGCTTTGGAAAGTCCCAGTTCCCAGGCTGTACCCCAAAACTATAAGTAACAGTTATGCTCCCTCCTCCTCTACCTTCTTCTCTCTCCCCGTGTGTGTGTATTCATATATATATGTATGCATATATATAATTTAAGGCAGACTCTTGAAATAGTTAACAGAAATTTCACCTTTGTTTCCACCAAATAGTATACACAAAGTATTTGGAGATGACATTCCAAAGAAGTCTTGTGAAAGAGGTGTCCACCAGGGTGCAGTGGCAGGGGGTGGGAGGTGGGGGATAAGACTTAACACCTGTGAAGAAAAGGTGCACCTTTGGGTTGATCCCAGAGGCCATGTCAAACACAAAGGATGACCAAGGATGACAAAGAATGGCCATGTCAACACAAAGCCCATGTAGTCTGTTGGTAGGGACAAATTTTATTTTGAATTCAGTTAGGTTGCCTGATAACTGTAAACTAGGACAAAGTGAAGGCAACACAGGTAATGTGCAGCTGTGTGTACATTTAGTTAATGTCTGTGCCAAGAAAGAAGTAATAAGTGCCTGAGTGTGTTTGTGTTCAAATTCTGTTCTCAGGGTATGTTGTTTAAGCAAGAGCTTTCAAGTAATCACTTCAAGACCTTCAGTAATCACTTTCAGTAATCTTTCAAGACTTAATTCTTTGATCAAGGTAGAAGACTTGATCTCTTTAAATAGTCTTGAAAGTACAGTTTTTAAAAGAAACAAGATTTGTTTTATTCCTAATCTTCACATTTTCCAGAATTACTGTGAACAAGGTATTTTACTGGAATCTGTATTTTAGGGAATTAACCCAAAGATGGGGGTGATACCCCCAAAAAAACTGAAAAGAAAAGGACACTGTGCCCAGTTGATATGTTCTCCTCTCTGATCTCTAGAACTATATGCGGTGGGAAGAACAACAAGGCAAGAAGCCCAATTGCTCCCACAGTCAGAAAGCTTTTCACATTGAGCCAACTCAGAGGCCATTCTCTATCACTGAGATGGTGGCATGGACCCTCCCCTCCGTCTCTGCAGAGGATATCCCCAGGGAGACTCCTTCACAACCTAGGAGCATCATCCCTCGGCACTCACGCATCAGTTTAGATGACCTGTGGCTGGAGAAGATGCAGAGGAGGAGGTTGAAGAAGCAGGTCCAGGTTGAAAGGAAGATGCACCCAGAGATAGCACATAAAGATGGAGTCCAAGTAAGCTGTTTACATGCCATGTATCATCAGACTTGGCCTGGTATCCCCTCTTCCTCTGCAGCTGCTTACATTTTCTAAGCTCTCCCTTGACTCTTTCCTGTGATATAGTTTGTTGCCCTTGGGCCCTATGTATACAGCACAATGACACCCTTCCTCATGCCCTCAGCCTCAGCATAGACTGCAGATGAGATTCTACACAGTGGTATGTCTCAGAGCCAGAGGTTGTGGCTTCTCTTCCCTCTCAACAGTGTGTCTCTGCCTGTGTTCAACTCTTTGCAAGGCACTGGAGCAGAACTGAAGAAGGCAGGGCCAACCCTCAAGCTTTCCTGTAGTAATTACCATTTACTGGGGACCTACTCAGTGTCAAACACTATGTTTGACACTGGACAGTATTATCTCTACTACTAATAAGTATGACATTATGATATAATATTCTTAATTAAATTAATTAAACAAAGTTATACTAAGTCAATTAAATGCCATCCCTAGGGACATTTGACAGCATGATTTTTTATGAAACTGTCATCCTATTAAAAAAACTTAATAGTGCACACAGCATACTTTTTACCCATTCCCAGACTCTGTTTCTTGTTCTTTCCCTTTATAAAATAGCAATTTTTTTATTATCAAGTATTTGTGAAGTACACATCCCTGAGTCTCCCTCATCCCTTTTTTAAATTATGGTGAATTCACATAACATAAAATTAACCATGTTAAAGTATACAATTAAGTGGCATTTAGTAGATTCACAAGGTTTTGCAAGCATCACCTCTATGTAGTTACAAGACATTTTCATTATCTCAAAAGGAAACTCCACAGTCATTAAGCAGTCACTACCCATTTCCCATCCCCAGACCCTGGAAAGCACAAATATACTTTCTGTGGCCTATGGATTTGCCTATTCTGGATATTTCATATAAAAGGAATCAATATGTGACCTTTCGTGTCTGTCTTCTTTCACTTAGCATAATCTTTTTGAAGTTCATCTATGTTATAGTATATATCAGTACTTCATTCCTTTTTAGGACTGAATAATATTCCATTGTATGGATATATTTGTTTGATGTCATTTACCCATATCATACCCATTGATAGACATTTGGGTTGTCTCCAACTTTTGGCTATCGTTAATAGTGCTGTCAAGAACATCTATGTATAAACTTTTGTTTTAATCCATGTTTTCTATTCTTTTAGAATAGGAGTGGAATTGTTGGTACATATGGCAATTCTATGATTAACTCTTTGAGGAATTGCCAAGCTGTTTTCCATAGTGTTCACACCATTTACATTCTCACCAGCAATGTATGAGGGTTGCAACTTCTCCATGTCTTCACCAACACTTGTTTTCTGTCTTATATTGTTTTGTTTAAATTACACCATCCTGGTGGGTCTGAATGGTATACCTCACTGTGGTTTGATTTACATTCACCTAATGAGTTATGTTGAATATATTTTCATATGCTTGTTGGCCACTTGTAAACTTCTTTGGAAAAATGTCTCTTCAAGACATTTGCCCATTTTTAATTGGGCTTTTTGTCTTTTTGCTATTGATTTGTGAGAATTTTTTTATATACGTGGATATATATTATGACATACATATATGTGTGTGTGTGTGTGTGTGTGTGTGTGTGTGTGTGTGTGTGGATATATATTATGATCCTTACTGAATAAGTGATTTGCAGATATTTTCTCCCATCTGTAGATTGCCTTTCACTTTCTTGATAGTGTCTACTGCCTTGATAGTGTCTACTTGCACAAAACTATTTAATTTGATATAATCCAATTTGATTTTTTGTTGTTGTTGCTTGTGAATTTAGTGTCATGTCGAAGAGTCAATTACCAAATCCAAGGTCATGAAAATTTACTTCCTTGCTTTCCTCTAAGAGTTTTGGGGTCTTTGATTCATTTTGAATCAATTTTTGTGTGTTGTGTGAAGCAGAAATCCAACTTCAATTTTTTCTATGTGGGTATCTTGTTGCGTTAGCAACATTCGTTGAAGAGACTAACCTTTCCCTCATTGAATGGTCTTGGCACCCTTGGAAAAAAAATCAAATGGCCTTCGATATATAGATTTATTTCTGGATCCTCAATTCTATTCCATTGGCCTATATATCTATGGTTATGCCAGTACCACACTATTTTAACTACTGTAGTTTTGTATTAAGTTTTAAAGTTAAGATGTATGAGTTATCTTTGCTATTTATATGTATGGTGTAGAAGGCTATTGGTATTTTGCTAAGATTACAATGAATCTGTAGATAACTTTGGAGAATATTGCCATCTTAATAGTATTAAATCTTTGAATCCATGAACACAGGTTGTTTCTCCATGTTTTAGGTGTTCTTTAGCTGTTTTTAGCAATGTTTTGTAGTTTTCAATGCAGAAGTCTTACACATCCTTGGTTAAAATGTTTCCTAAGTATTTTTTTCAAAAAACGTTTCTTGAGGGGCAGAGGGAGAGAGAGAGAAAGAATCTTAAGCAGGCTCCATGCTCAGTGCAGAGCCTGACGTGGGGCTCAGTCTCATGACAGTGAGATCATGACCTGAGCCAAAATCAAGAGTTGAATTCTTACCCAACAGAGCTACCCAGACACCCCTTTTCTTCAGATTTTTAATTGATGTATAGTTGAAATATAATATTATATTAGTTTTAGGTGAACAACATAGTGATTTGATACTAATATACATTATAAAATGCTCACTACAATGAATATAGTCACCATCTGTCACCATACAAAATTATTACAGTATTATTGACTATATTCCCTATACTGTACTTTTCATCCCCATGACTTATTTATTTTATACCTGGATGTCTGCAGCTCTAATCTCCTTCACCTATTTTGCCCATCACCACCCTCCCCCTCTGGTAACAACCAGTTTGTTTCTGGTATTTATGGGCCTGCTTCTGCTTTTTGTTTGTGTTTGTTGATTTGTTTTGATATGTGATTTTTAGATTCCACGTATGAGTGAAGTAATATGGTATTTGTCTTTCTCTGTTTGACTTATTTTACTTAGTATAATACCTTCTAAGTCTATTCATATTGTCACATCACAAATGGGAAGGTTCCATTCTTATTTATGGCTGAGTAATGTTCCATTGTGTGTGTGTGTGTGTGTGTGTGTGTGTGTGTGTGTGTGTGTATACACCACATTTTTATATATTCACCTATTTATGGACACTTAGGTCACTTCCATATCTTGGTTATTGTAAATAATGCTACAGTAAACATAGGGGTACATATATCTTTGATGTTTATTTTTTGAGAGAGAGAGACAAAGTGTGAGCAGGGAGGGGCAGAGAGAGGGAGACACATTTTCTTTTTGACAATAAATTGTCAGCCATTCTGACAAGTTACAGATTCCTCACTGTGGTTTTTATTTGCATTTCCCTGATGATAAATTGAGCCTCTTTTCAAGTGTCTGTTGGCTATCTGTACGTCTTCTTTGGAAAAATGTCTATTCAGGCCCCCTACCCTTACCCATGAAAATGTGTATTCATTACCCTACTCAGGGTAAGATGGACCTAATAAAATAAGTTGGGAAGTATTCTCTCATCATCTATATTTTTGAACAGATTGATAAAGTTAGTTTTCTTTTTTTGTTTGTTTGTTTATTTTTGAGACAGAGACAGAGCATGAGCAGGGGAGGGGCACAGAGCGAGGGAGACACAGAATCCAAAGCAGGCCAGAGGCTCTGAGCTGTCAGCACAGAGCCTGACACAGGGCTCAAACTCACAAACCATAAGATCATGACCTGAACCAAAGTCAGGCACTTAACCCACTGAGGCACCCTAGCATCTCAATAAAGTTGTTTTTCTTTGCTCTGAAGTCTACTTTGATATGAATATATCCACTTCTTTTTTGATTTATGTTTACATATACCTTTTGCTTTCAACCTGTTATTAATTTGAAGTAAATTTCTTATAAGCAACATTATTAGATGTTTTTGTTTTATCCATTATGCTTACCTCTTTTAATTGGTGCATTTTGACCACTTCCATTTGAAATCTTTATTGTGTTAGGATTTAAGTCTGCCACTTTATTATTAGTTTCCTGATTGTTTCTCCTGTTTTCTGGTACTCTTTTCTTACTTTTCTGTCAGTTTTATGAATATTTTTAGGATTCCATCATAATTTATTTGTAATATTTTTGTTTTTGTTTTTTTTTTTGTTTTTTTTTTTTTTTTTAAATTTTTTTTTTTTCAACGTTTATTTATTTTTGGGACAGAGAGAGACAGAGCATGAACGGGGGAGGGGCAGAGAGAGAGGGAGACACAGAATCGGAAACAGGCTCCAGGCTCCGAGCCATCAGCCCAGAGCCTGACGCGGGGCTCGAACTCACGGACCGCGAGATCGTGACCTGGCTGAAGTCGGACGCTTAACCGACTGCGCCACCCAGGCGCCCCTGTAATATTTTTGAATGTATGGTTCTGTGTAGTTTTCTTAGTGGTTGCTAAAAGTATTGTTGTATACACACATAACTAATCACTGTCTACCATTATCAACATTGTATCACTTCCAATGAACTATAGTAATCTTACTCCCACGGAGGCTCATTTCCCCTCCCCACTTTATCATTGTCTAAAGTGTTTTCTCTATCTACATTAAGCACCATATCAAATTTTTTAAAATTTTTGTTCAGTCATCAAAAATGATTTAAGACATTCATGAGAAATGGATAATCTATTATATTTACCCTAAATTTTACCCATGCCAATGTTCTTTCTTTATGAAAGTCCAGACTTTTTTTGTCATCATTTCTTTTCTCTTTAGAAAACTTTCTTTAGCCACCCTTTAAGGGTAAGTTTGTGAACAATATATCTTTTACTTTTCCTTCAACTAAAAACGTCTTTATTTTCCCTTCATCCTGAAGGAAAAAAGATACAGGCTTAGCAGTTGACAGTCTGGCCTACATTGCTCAGACGACAAACTCCTTGTTAGGTGTACCATTTAAGGAATGTATGTTTGCTCTCTAGTTGCTCTCTTTAGTTTTCAGAGGC